ATTGTGAATTTCAGAATTTCCTGTAAATCCTGCATGGTTTTGTCCCTAATATAGTCATGATTTCTGATCCCCACTAGTGGGAGTAACGCTAGCACATGTCGACATGTTTACTGATATGACTGGTTCATTCTATAATCCTGCCAATGAGATAATACATTGGTAATTTCTAACGCCTGCCATTGGGCAAATACATTGGTAAATTCTGACGCCTGCCAGTGGGTGTTAAACGCTGGTCATGACTTATAGATCAGACTACTACTGAATTTTCTTCTGCATTGAACGCTTTGCTATTGAACTGAATTTGATTTTGTATTAACGGTTTATCATTGAACATTTTGTTATGTTAAACTGTTATCTAACATGCTTAAATTTTATCCCTGGGCTATCCATATTTACTTACTGAGTTATCTCATAATTTTTCCTTGTCCACCATTTCAGGATGCGAGGTCAAGGACGGGGAAAAACGAGGGGAGTGACGAGTTAAAAGGCTAGCCATCTTGTAAAGTGAACATAGATTGTAAATATAGATCATGATCTTGTAAGCTTCATTTGGAGATTTTATGATATTAGAGCAAATTTTAAGATTTTTATCTTCAAATTTTGTGGTATGATTAAGTTCTGAGCCTTATGTATTTGTGGGACCCTCTTACGAGTGCACAGCGTCTGCCACGTCTCTGGATTCGGGTTCTGGGACGTGACATTAGCAATTAAAATGCTAAGAATAATAATGAAAAACTAAAATACTTATGAATTAATACAAAAAAATTTATTAAAGGTATTTGAATAAATTTTACAAGGAATCTTATAATTTAAAGTATCAAAATATCTTTATTTTCCTTTTTTTTTAGGTCATGAAACTCAACTCGAGGGAGGTAATTAAACCATGTCCATATTTAGTTATTACACAAACTAAGAAGTAAACCATGTCCATTTTTAGTTATTGCACTTACTAAATAAAGGATTCACATTTTTATTTTTCAACATGAGGGAATTTGGGAGAGATGGATTTTTTTTAAAATCGTTGGTGGGAGTCAAACTTTTGACCAACCACACCTAAACACTTGAGAATTGAGGACGAACCATTAGATCCAAAAGCTTGGTACAAATAAAGGATTCACATTTAATTGTTATACTTTCTAGGTTTCACATTTAAATGTCATACTTTTTACGTTTGTAAAGATATGCTTTATTCTAATTCTATCCCAATTAAATGTCTAATAAATTTTTTAAGGTTTCATAACTTTGCCCTCAAGTTAGAAGTATAGTAATTATTATATTTTTTTGACATTAATTAGCATTAAAAAAATAAAAGTTGATATATAGTTAAGTAACTTTATAATTAAAATGATTTATATGACATTGGTGATAAAATCAATAACAATTTTTGTATTTTTTAATACCAATTAATGTTAAAAAGGTACAATAATAAAATTAGTATTTTTAATTAGGCTAAGAGTATATTTATTCCACATTTTTATAATTAATTTATATAAAAAATATAATTATTAATTTTAATTTATTCAATTAGTTCAGTAAAACTACCTACGTGATAATGGTATTAAAACAAAGGTTAACTTTTGTGACTTTTCCTCTAAATTAATTGCAGACTAGGGCATTTATTGCATTTTGCATGGGTTGGACAAAGTTTATTACACATTTTTAGGGGCAAAAATAAATTTCAAGGAATGGTACTCATTTTGTATAAAAAAAAACTGTCACTTTTAAATTTTTTCTATAAATGGAGTATTCAAGGCCATTTATGTATTTATTATCATCATTTTTAAAAAATAAATAAATAATAAAGAGGCTTTTTATAATAGAATAATTAATAAAAAAAATTTTCAAGTCAAATCACATGTTAGAAGTGTAGTTCAACTGCTACAATTATTAAAATATCCTTAATAATTTTTTTATATTTATTCATTAATGATAACTTAGTAATTTTAGTGTTGGGATTGCACTCTTAATGTGTAGTACAAACTAAAATATGTGAAATTCATAATTAATTATAATAAATGGATAAAATAGTGTTAAAGTAAAAAAGAAAAGCTTATCTACCTTATATATAAAAATATAATAATTAATTTGAGACAAATTTAAAATTAAAAAATTAATTTTTTATTACTACTTTAATTATGTTCAATTTCGGTAGAAATAGTTACTAATTTGGAGCATTTAAATTGAGTTATACACCTTTCTTTTTTAGATACTATTTAATACTCTTACTTTTATTTTATCTTTATTTTAAAAGATAATTGTAACATATATTATTACATTTATATTTTATTAAAAAAAATCATATCAACTAAAGTTGAATGGAGAAACTACATTTCTCATTTATTTTGATACTAAACTTTTTGATATTCAGAAATTATATTACATTATGATTAATTTGGTGTTAAGTTATGTGGAATTTATAAGCAAAAAGCTTTCTCAGCATTTATCATTTTATTTATAAAATTTGAATTCGAGAGATTTTATTTGAAGAAAATAAAGTTACTTTTATTTTAAGAAAATAAAATTAATTATATTTGAAGCAACATATCATTAGTTAAATTTCTTATTTATTGTGTTACACAAAATATGATAACTAAAAATAAGCTGAGGATAATAAAATTTACAACGAATTAGAAAATTATAAAAAAAAAACATTTCAAGTTAATTTTAAAAAAAATTATTTATAATATTATTTAAACACAATTAATAAATCTCTTTCAAGAAAAAAGAACTAAACTAACCGCACCCAGTTACGGTCCGAACCATTTACACGTCATGCGGTAAAGCCACAACCGACCAATAACTTATCGCTCAGTATAGGCAAAAGCCTAAGAATAGTCCCTTACCTTGATAAGTTGGACGATTTTAGCCCCTCACCTTATAACATAACGGTTTTAGCCCCTAACCTATAAGAATGGAAGAAAATAACCCTTTTTTGTAACTTCCGTTCGTTGGGCTGTTACCGTCCGTCACTTCCGTCCCTTCCTCCGTTATCTTT